AGAAATGTGATTTGGAAGAGAAGTTATAAAAAATTCAAGAATGTCAGGTTGTCTGTTTATGTGCGTGGGCCTGTAGGTGGGATTGGGAGGGGCAATTATTTTTAGTTTTTTTGTTGTTGTAAAATTAATTAATGAGCGCCCTCTGGTGTTGACGATTCTAGAGCCCCAAGCGTAGTGTTTAGAATTAAAGTCACCTCCAGCAGTATAATTGTTACCTAGAGAAAGAAAGTACTGTTCAAAATCAGATGTTTTTATGTTAGGACGGTTTCTCTTTGGAGGTGAACAGTAAACTGAGGAAATGGTAGTAGGAATGTTATTTAGAATTAAGGTAATATTCATGGCTTGGATGATATTGCTTTGGTAGGGAGGAAGAGTTGAATGTTTAATATTTGATTTAATTAGTAGCGCAGAGCCCGCGTGAGCTGTGCCATCAGGATGGTCGCAATGGTAAGTTATATAACCGGGAATTTTAAAGAAGGAATTTGATGTCAAGTGGGCTTCGCTTACTAATAGGACATCTATAGGAGTATTTATAAGAAAAGCTTGTAATTCGGTTTTTTGATTTATAAGACCATTAGAGTTCCAAAGAAGGATTTTTATTGGGTGATGATTATTAGTATTACTATTTATCATTGTTGGAAATAAGAAGTTTATTGATGACGGTTGTTAGGAGGGAAATTAAGGGATTAATTAGGGATTTATAATCGTCAAGAAAGGAGGAGAGTTTTAATGTCAATGGGTCTGAGTCAACGGCGAAAGGAATATTAGTTTGATTAAATTGGCTGTTGGAATTTTTATCAACGGCATGAGAATATGATTTAGAGAGGGGGATAATTTGATTTGAAGTAGTGTTTACAGTGTTGGGCTTTACATTATTATTTGGGTGGACATTGTTAATACGACCTTGGTAGTTTTTTTTAGGTGTTGATTGGATTGGTGTTCTTTATGGATTGGACAACCTCTGTAGTTTGCAGGATGATCACCTCCACAAAGAGCACATTTGGCAGGGAGGCTTGAAGATTTTTGGCAGGTCGATGAAAGATGGTTGTCTCCGCAACGAACACATTTAGGAGGGTGATTACAATAGGATTTGGTATGACCAAAACCTTGACAGCGAAGACATTGAATTGTTTGATGGTTTAAGCGTGGCTCTTCGATTTTAATTTTTGTGTAGTGTAAAAACTCAATTTTAAAGATATCTTTATTATTGAGGGCAGGCTCCAAATCGACAAAGAAAAGTGGAAGTGGAAGCTTTGTAGACCGTTGAATAACATTTGTTATGTTTCTTGGAGTATGACCAAGGGACAATAATTCTTTTTTAATTTCTTCGGGTGATGTTGTGTGATGGAGGTTTCTGATTACCACTCTGAACGGTCTATCTTTTTTTAGCTGGTAAGTATGGAAATCTGCTTTATTTGATAGAAGAAATTTAATAACCGAGCGGTAGGAATCAGCTGAGCTGGTAGAAAGTTTCAAACCATTGGTTGTGCTTTTACAAGAGAACTGTTCACCTTCGGTGACTTCTTTAATTTCTGAGCAAAATGAATTGAAGTCATTGACAACACGGATAAAAATTGGAGGAGGAGGTTTGGTTTCAATGATGGGAGACTCAGTGTGCTCTGTAACAATTTCCATATTGTCGGCTTGAAGTACAGGTTCCTCGGTATCGTTTGCGGCAAAAAGTGAGAAACGATTTAGTGAAACGTATGTTGTATGTTTTTTGTGTTGTGTATTATTTGGTGAGTGGGCTGGAGAAGGGAGTCGTTTAGAACTTTTTGGTGTGGTAAAGCCGTCATTGGGGGAAAAATTAGCTGGAGAGATTAATGGTTGATTTGGCACGCTCTGTATGCGTGACTTTTGTATTATTAGTTGTGAGACAGTTTTTGATTTATCGGTATTCGATGTGAACGACATGACGGTGTGAGCTTATCGCGAGCGATAACGGCAATTTGCGGGCCGTCCGAAGCGGGCCGCCGTAGATAATAGAATTTAGATAATTAAAATTATTACCAAAATGCAGATGGAGTAACTCTGGATCCTCAGAGAGATATGGTGAATAGCTCAATGGATAACTGGTACTTTTTGATACCAGGACGTTTTTGAAATAAAAAAAAATAGTATAGAACTTAATTTTATACTTGAGAAAACGGAATGTAATCGTATATTACGATGCTTCATTGTCGACACACACTGTACCTATGAATAAATTTTAAATAAATAAATTCAAAATTCAAACGCTAAAATTTTTTTTTACTTTTTGTCTACAAATTTTTGTAATTAAAAACATATATTGCCATTAAAAAAAAAACAAAAATCTATTTTTTTGGCCTACAAGGATTGGTCATAAAAAGTTTCAAAATATAGTACAATGTATAACAAAAAATCTTGAGAAAAAATATTAATAAATTCGGAGAAAATTAGTGTTTTATCCTTAATGAATCATCCTGCATATGCATTACCAGATTAATTTAAATTTTGGCCACTTTTATCGTGGTTCCTGCCCACTCTATACGGGTGAAAATTAAATATGTTAAAATGTTTTATCTGATTTGATGTTACAAAGTTTTCATATACCAATAATTTGTTGGACCCACTAGTAAGTCGCTCATACTCGGAAATTGATGCTACAACTATGGCACATGAGTTAACCTAAAACAGATTTGGGTTCCTGGAAGGTCATACAATTGTGCTTCTACGAGCATTAAATGAACACACGAATGTCTAATATCTATTTATATTGGGATATCCTTTGTCAGTACACCTTTGTTATCCTCTGGCTTTCCCGGAAAAACGGTGCAAATTAAGTGTACTTTTTCGAATGCGGCTGAACAAGATTAATTGATAGTATAGTAAATTGATTTAAGACCAGTTAAGTTTCCTTGAAGAAATAATAATATAATATATTTTACTGTCGAATAGAAATTATTAAATTCTTGCTTCCGAAGCTTACATAAGTTGTGATAATGGATTTTATTGATATTTATTATTATTATCATCATTTTTCAATATCTAGTGATTATAGATTTTATGTCTGCAATAGAATCTGCAATCGATTTGACTGAAAAATACAATTTTAAATCATCAGAAAATAGTAGTAGTTTTATGGAACTATCGGATATCTGAAGTTAATAGATAAAAGATAAAAAAACAGTGGGCCTAAATTTCAACCATAAAGAACCTGAAATTACATTTGAAATTCATCAAATTTATAAAAAGATAGTTAAACAGTCTGATAACGGTCTGCAAGGTAAAGGAAACCTTAAAAGTGAACTACCAAAACCAAATGACTTCAATCTACACAAAAATATATTGTTTTAACTTTTTAAATTTTACAAACTGTAAGTAATCATCTAGTACCACTTGTTTAATGCTCAAATAGGCTTCTATCATGTCCAATTTACTTTGACAAGAATTTACAAAAAATAACCTAAATATTTATTCTGTAATAAATTATCGTCCATAACTGAATTTTAGTTGATACAAGTTTAGTTCTCATAATTATGAAGCTCCACTTTTTCAAGCTTTTTTTTACTATATTTCTATTCATCAAATACGGACACCTAACCTTCGAGGTTAGGTTGCCCCTACTCGTTATGTTTGGTTTATCTATCATTGCTAAACTATAATAGACAGGTCACTTATGACTGCACATGCATGCAACTGAATATTAATCTTATAATTATCGTCTATCGACGAGAAGTCGATATATGTTTAGAGCTCATAATTTAATAATGCACTTTCCAAGTTCTTTTTTACTATATTTGTTATTCACCATACACGGAAACGATTAACTACTATTCTAGCTCCTGCTCGTTGTGCTAGATATGCCGTTTGCCAATCATTACTTTATTCATTCTATGCTTGTCGGCCACATTGACACATTGTTACACGTTGCAAGTTCGTTTCCAAATTTCAAGCTCAAGTTATTCTGGAAATACCTCCTGTTCTCTTAAAAGTAAAGTATTTAGATCTAACATGTAAAATATGTTTTAGACATTTGTATAAATGGTGATCATTTTATCGTGAACCACTCAAAATATCATAGGCTTGTAAAAGAAATTTGATTTTTTTTTCATATGTAATGTGTTTTATTTTAATTTTTGTTTTAATACAATGTGATCTCAAGTTCTTTCTCTAAGTTCAAGCTCAAGTATTTGTAGAAATATCTCCTGAACACGTGAAAGTAACGTACTTAAATCTAATATATGAAATATGTTTTATACATTTTTAGTTACACAGGGTGATAATTTTATCGTGAAATACTCCATATCTCATAAAGCTCAATAAGAAATACATTTTTTTTTAACGCCGTTTTTTTTTAGATATCACTGAAAAAAAAAAATGACTACCCCAAAAAACGAAGACAAATCGTTTATCACTAACGTGAGATTGTTGAAGATAACCGGACTGTATCAAGTACTGAATCCAATTGAAAACGACGGTTCGATTACGTTTTGGGGATATAAACTTTATCGATTGGCTCATATTTTAGCTGCAATATTTGACGGGACATTTTTGATTATTGGCGTGCTCGGCCTCGTTGGTTGGACCAACGACTTTAACCAGTGGCTTAACTTGTGGATGCTATGGGTAGGCGGTTTTAACACTTTACTGAACGTCATCCGAGTCGGTCAAAAATCCCAAGTCATTTGGAAATGTTTCGACATAATGCGCGACGATTTCTTATCTTACCGACATTACAAGACGGACACGGTGAAGTATTACAAAACCAAGTCGTTGACAGTCACAAACACATACGCCACACTGTGTTTGGCGATACTTTTGAATTGGTTGATCTACCCTGCGTTTTCCACTGATTATACGGTACGAAATCTAAATGGCGACACGGTGACTTACAAGAACAGCGTTGTCAACAATTTGCTGTATCCGTTAAACGTCGACATGTACAATAAACTACACCCGATCATTTACATTATCGAAGCTGTTATACTTGCGCAATGCTTCATTGGCTTTGTGCTATTCGATTCGGTGCTCATTATTTTCTGCTGGTCAATTGTAGCACATCTGAAAACAATCGCTTCAGCGTACAGCTCGTTGGGATACGAAAAAACTGAGAGTATGTGTCCGCATTACCTAACTGTCTACACACTAATTATTGTTTGCTATACTTCCCAAGCCAATAATACTTATCGAGAGGGTTCACTTACATCGGGACGGTGTGGCGCAGTGGACACCTCAGGTGCCGCATAGCACTTGAGGTTAAGCTGTGGCCGTTGCTGCTTGAACCCGGATGGGTGACCACCCGGATTTTTAGCGGCGACCCACACCATCAACCCCCGATAAGCATGGCAGAAATGCCATGTGACCTCAGGCGACCGAACTAGCATAAGTTAGCTATAGCCCTGCCGGTCAGATACGCCATACGATTATCATACGAATAAATAAACTTGTATTTCAGATAAATCGTTAACGTTAATCGAACAATTCAAAACGATTGTATCGGATCACGCCAAAGTCATATGGTGAGTTAAGTTATTACTTTGCCATATTTGCCTTTAGGCAATATTGAAAAGGCGACTCGCTTCATTTAACCATGTAGATACTTTGCGTTATTTATGTTTTATTTCATCGTCTTATAATAAAAATTAAAATCTAAATGAGGAAAGGTATTTATTTAATTTATGGAAAAGGAGTCTTCAAGATTTGTTGCCCTATGGTTTAAAATCAGGCTATGATTTATTATGAAATCTATTCATATTATTACCCAAATAACACATCGTTGCTGATACTGCAACAACACCTATCTCAAAATTTGACAAAATTAGGATTTTGTGGATATCAATAAATTAAGATAAAACGTGTATATTATGTTAAAAGATTTCTTTTATAAGTCAACTGGTTAGACTGTAAATAACAAAAATGACAACACAACGTTTTAGTGCTCTACTGTAAAATCATGGAAACTGAGATAGGTGTTGTTACAGTATCAGCAACGATATAGTATTATAAATTGCTTACACTGTTTATTACAAATTTATTAATTTATGTATTATGCATTTTCCTGGTTTTTTTTTTAGTGTAATGAGAGAGTTGTTTGATACTATTCGGCCAATAATAGTTTGTCAACTTGGAACTTCTACTTGCATATTAATTTGTTTTACATATGCCTATGTAGCGGTAGTACTTAAATATTGTTATTTTTGATTATTATCTTTGAATAAGTACGCTGATGTTTAATACAAATTTAACAGAACTATTTTAACGGGATGTCGATTATGTCTGTACTGCTGATGAAACATTTTTTTTCGTTGATGTTCGGAGTACTACGGTTGTTCATCTTAACTAAATTTTGTGGACTTGTGGACGACCAGGTTAATTTTTTTTTACTTTATATCATTACATATAAATAAAATTGTGTTAGGCACTATAGTATCGTTATAGATTGTGTTTTGCCTATCGTTCCTTTTCAGTATATAAAAACAGAAATGTCAAACTTATAAATTAAAATAATAATTTATATATATAAAATACCTACCTTTTTTGGTTACAGGTAAACTCGATGAATTTCTCATTGTACAGTTGCAATTGGTTAGATCAAGATTTATCTTTCCAAAAGTTACTGTTGTTGACAATGTCCGTGAACAGTGCTAATATGAAGACGTTTACGATAACGCCGACCAAAAAAGTTGATTTGAAAATGTTTGCAAGTGTATGTATATAATATTGCTTTTATATAATTTAGTGGGCAAACCCAACTCTGTCAGTGCAAAACAAAAGTTTGTCAATTCCCAGATCGTCAAGGGAATCAAGGGATGAAATTCAATTATTTGGTCCTATTAGATAACTACAAGTTGATCAATATATCGTGAACCACTCAATATCTCACTGATTTTATTAAGAAATATAATTTTTTTTTTATTCAACGTGATCTTAATTTATCACCATATACATAGCATCTTTTAAATTTTAAATAGTAACGCATACATTTCATTATCATTTTAAATCGAGAATAATGTACTAAAAATGTAGACTGGTCGACCAAGTTTGTGGTTATTGGAGTTTCAAGTTTAGGGCAGAAGTTTTTCGGCATTTTCTAACCACACTTCCCCTACCACCCTATTTTTAAACTCTTATAACTTTATAATATTTGTCTAAAATTAGTTATCAACCAGTTCAAATATTTATTATATTATTTTCGTTTAATAGTTAAGGAAACAAATGCGTTACCATTTAAGTTTCAAAAGTTGCTTTAAATAAAGTTTTGGATGATGGTAAAAATAAATAAAATGATGAGATATTGTAATAACATTGAATAAAAACACAATGTAGAGAATAAATTAAATTTCGTATTAAAACCAGTGAGATGTTGAGTGATTCACAATAAGTTTTTCACTCTATATATTGAGATATACAGATTGATACATTTTATCATTTCCATGTTACTTTATTATATACAAATTGATTAAAATATCTAAAAAGTTATTATTTATTACTTTTAGTGTTTAAAATCTTATCTTAACGAATACCGCTGTAATTATCTACATAATCTTCATCTATAGTGTTTCCATTTTAGAATTTAACAAGATTTAATGTTTGTTTTCAGACTATACAAACGTCATATACTATTATCTCTGTATTGTTGAAGAAAAACTTATCCAAACAAAACTAAAATCACAAACATGTGGATAGAGATTTAACTTTAGATACCATAGGTACTATAGGTACAATATTATGAAACAACATGTTTTGTTCACGTTAATAAAACTGTATACATATAACTTGTGTAATGTTACACCAATACAAATAGTATAAATGCAATGTGATTAAAATAAAATACATTTTGTTTCACTTTTAAATTTGTCTTTTACTTTAATAACATCGTTAACACTAATATATACAGGACGATTTATTCATCATGAGCCACTTAATATTTAATAGGGTTGAATAAGAAATTAATTTTTTTTTTCATATTGTTTTTATATAATGTGGACTATCAATTTTGTCTAAATAAATTTAACTTACATACTTACCTAAATTTTAAGTAAAATTAAAAATAATATTGGTTAACATTGATATAATCAAGATGTGATTACTGATTACTTATATGGAGTTATAAAATAATGCATACTATAGATACTCATATTTTCAAAAATATTTTAAACAGATAAGTTGAGTATTATTAACTCACATACACAAATTCAGGTATTAATATATATTCGAAGTTAATCATAACAAATCACACCTTTCATTAAAATTGCTTAATTTTGATAAAACACATTATTATGATTAATGTCACATTTAAAATAAAGGGTTTTTTATCTATAAATGACACCTTGCTATGTAATTGTAAGGTCTTGGGTCCATTTAAAAGCACATTTACAAATCTATAATTATTGATATTGTTCATTTTCAAAACCATTAAGCCGTTGATAATTATGACATGATAACATTTGTTTTAAAAATAATAAAATATTTTCGGAAAAAAAGCATTCAACCAAAATTAAAATCGCTGATTAAATTCTTATTGTGTTAAATTAAACAATAAGATATATGGTTACTGGCCACTCAATTAATGCGTGGTTATTTATTATACCTGATTAAGATACGTAGTTCGGTAACACGTCAAATTATTTTATGCGATGTAATAAAACTACTTGTCTTAGTAGTAACGATTGAAAATAATAAGAAATACAGACAAAAATCTAATTTTTATAATGTCATAACAAATGAATAAATTTTAAATAAATAAATTCAAAATCCAAACGCTAAAATTTTTTTTTACTTTTTGTCTACAAATTTATGTAATTAAAAACATATATTGCCATTAAAAAAAAACAAAAATCTATTTTTTTGGCCTACAAGAATTGGTCATAAAAAGTTTCAAAATATAGTACAATGTATAACAAAAAATCTTGAGAAAAAATATTAATAAATTTGGAGAAAATTAGTGTCTTATCCTTAATGAATCATCCTGCATATGCATTACCAGATTAATTTAAATTTTGGCCACTTTTATCGTGGTTCCTGCCCACTCTATACGGGTGAAAATTAAATATGTTAAAATGTTTTATCTGCTTTGATGTTTCAAAGTTTTCATATACCAATAATTTGTTGGACCCACTAGTAAGTCGCTCATACTCGGAAATTGATGCTACAACTATGGCACACGAGCTTACCTAAAACCGATTTAGGTTCCTGGAAGGTCATACAATTGTGCTTCTACGAGCATTAAATGAACACACGAATGTCTAATATCTATTTATATTGGGATATCCTTTGTCAGTACACCTTTGTTATCCTCTGGCTTTCCCGGAAAAACGGTCAAAATAAGTGTACTTTTACGAATGCGGCTGAACAAGATTAATTAATAGAATAGTAAATTGATTTAAGATTAGTCAAGTTACCTTGAAGAAATAATAATATAATATATTTTACTATCGGATAGAAATTATTATGTTCTTGCTGCCGAAGCTTACATAAGTTGTGATAATGGATTTTATTGATATTTATTATTATTATCATTATTTTTCAATATCTACATTTATTTATTATCTTTTTCTATAAACGATTGAGTGCACTTACACCTATATAGTTATACTTATATTTATATGAGTTGTAATATCCAACTTAACCTAATGGTTAAGATGGGCGCTTCACATATCTTCCATGACATAAGTGTTAAACAGTAAGCAATTGTCATACATCCGAAAAATAATAATGATAGCTTTTATCCTTATAGTGTAAAACATGACTAAATAAACAAGAATGATTGCTAATCAGCATAACTGCCTAGAATTGGAAAAAAGGATAAAGTATCTGTATCTATTATTGTTTAACAAATCATTTTATTCTATCACCTTAAATTAAATTTATAATTAAGATACTTAGGTTTTTATTATGACTAAAGGAAATAGCTTGATATTTATGTATATTTAGTGTTTTACTCCAGGCTTAAAAATTATTTTATAATATATAGTAGTTTTATGGAACTCTACGATATCTGAGGTTAATAGATGAAAGATATAAAAAGGCATTGGGCTTAAATTTCAACCTTAAGGAACGTAAAATTAAACTCATGTAGTATATAAAAAGATAGTTAAACAGCCTGAAAACGGTCTGTACGGTAAAAAGAAAACCTTAAAAATGAGCTACCAAAACCAAATGACTTCAATCTACACAAAAACATATTGTTTTAACTTTTTAATTTTTACAAACTGTAAGTAATCATCAAGTACCACTTGTCCAATGCTCAAAGAGGCTCCTATCATATCAATTTTACCTTGACAAGAATTTACAAAAAATAACCTTAATATTTATTCTGTAATAAATTATCGTCCATAACTGACTTTAATTATTGATACAAGTTTAGAACTCATAATAATAAAACTCAGCTTTTTCAAGTTCTTTTTTATCATATTTTTCTATTCATCAAATACGGCCACTTCACCTGACTATTCTTGCTCCTACTCGTATTGTTGGGTTTATCTATCATTGCTAAACTATAACAGTCAGGTCAGTTATTATTTTTTGGTTTCGGTTTGTTTCTAGTTCATCGATTTACTGACCGGAATATAAAAAATTAATTAATTAATACATCACATCTATAATTATATCTTGGAAAAAGTTTAGCTAAGGGTTAATTAGCATGAATATTTTATATGACCTTTTAAATACTTTTTACAAAACTGTTATTAAAAAATTATATATTCATAGAAGGCTAGTGCCGCTTGCCCAATGCTCATATATGCATTCATCACATCAATTTTATTATAATATATTATGACTGTACATGCATGAATATTAATATTAATCTTGTAATTATCGTCTATCGACGAGAAGTTGATACATGTATAGATTTTATAATTTAACAATGCACTTTTCCAAGTTCTGTTTTTACCATATTTGTTATTCATCATGCACGGAAGCTATTAATTGTCATTCTTGCTTCTGCTAGTTGTGCTGGGTATGCCGTTGTCAAACATTGCTTTATTTGTTCTATGATTGCCGGCCACATTGATACATTGTTACTCGTTGCAAGTTCTTTCTCAAAGTTCAAGCTCAAGTAATTGTAGACAAATCTTCTGATCTCCTGTAAGTAACGTATTTTAATCTAATATATAAAACATGGTTTATATATTTGTAGTTTATAAGGGTGCTCATTTTATCATAAGCAACTCCATATCTCATAAGGTTTAATAAGAAATTAATTTTTTTTTCATATTGTTTTTATACAATGGGTTCTCAATTACCCAAAACATTTTTTTCGCATTTTTTTTTATAGCATCTTTTGATACTTAAATGGTAAAGCATACATTTCATTAACTTATTATATTGAGATTAATGTACTAAACATTTTAACTGTTTAATATCCAGTTTTGAACAATTATTTTTACAGTTTTAAGAATTTTAATGTTAGGCTGGAAGGAGTAGTGCAGGTGGGTACTGCGCACACATAAAAATTATACTATTCACCACTTTTCTCCAGCCTTAAACTTGAATTTTCAATCATTTCACAAATGGTTACTCAAAACTAATTATCGACCAGTCAGTGATTAGTGACGATCATTCTCAATTTTAAAGGTTAGATGTATGAATAGGACTAAAATTGTTAAATACACAATGAAAATATTATTGATTTGTTTGAATTCTATACCAAAATTGCATATTTTTTTTCATATCTCAATTACCCAAACCTTTTTTTTTCGCCTCCCCCCCTCAGCTTAAGTTTTATAATAGCAACATTTGAAACCCAAATGGTAACGCATACATTTGGACTGATTGATAAAATGTTTTGAACAATTATTTTTAAAATTTTAAGAGTTTGGAAGTTAGACTAGGAGAGGAAGTGTAGGTGGGTATTGCGCACAGATAAAAATAATACTATGCACGTCCTATCATCCAGCCTAAAACTTGAAACAAATCGAAGATTAATGACGTATTCTCAATTTTAAAGGTTAGATGTGTCAGACTATAGGACTAAAAATAAAATAATTATAAAAATTATACACTATCCGCGAATACGTCGTATTTCGATGGAAAGTTGGCTTTCCTTGATTTACTAATTAAAAGAATGAATAATAATTTAGGTTTTGAGATTTATCGTAGGAAAACGCTCACATTTAGGTACATTCCGAAAAATTCAAATCACAGTCGGCAACATAAAATGGCGGCATTTAATAGTATGGTTTCAGATTAGTCAACATTCCTATGTTAAAAAATTATTTTGATAAAGAATTTAATTTAATAACTGAAATAGCTAAATTTAATGGGTATGATGCAAATATGATTTTTAGATTAGTTAAAAAGCATAAATGGTCAAGGGAAGTTAGAACAGCCAGTAGGCTCCTACGCTTAGTAGGAGGGACAATGAAAAAATTATAAGATCGGGTATGGTTTATTTTCCAAGGGTATTTCAAAGGGGTTAATAAACATTTAAAAAAATTACAAGATAACTCTAGTTGCATCAAAAAGTAATAACTTAAAATATTTATTAGGTAGTACCAAAGATAAAATAGGGGAAGAGGAGAAATCTAGGATTTAAAAAAAACAATTTGAAGAAAGCGATAAATGGGGTTAGGTTCAATAAACACATAAGGAACATTAAAAACCAGGAGGTAAACAAATCTCCTGTTGCGGAACATTTATTGGACACTAGGTAATCACAGCATCAAATCTGTAAAATTACTAAAAAATGTAAAAAAACTCCAAAGAACTTGATATTAGGGAAGCAATAGAAATATTGATAAAAAAGAAAAAACTTGTTAAACTGGGACTTAAGTCCATTATAAAACATTTTATTAAAATTAATAAAACGTGTTGACGATGAGGCATCATTTCTGGTATGACGACGCCGTTCGCGGGTAATCGGTCTCAGTCTGTCGTCAGCGCTGAAGATGACAACATTGTTGCCGAAATACGACGTATTCGCGGAGAGTACATAATTTTTATGGTTAAGGGTTTTTATTATTAATTTATTACATATAACCATAAGTGCTTAAGTTTTTTCTAGATATAGGACTAAAGTCGTTTAAAATTACAATAGAATTATTATTGATTCCTTTTTTGCACGAGTCTTATACCAAAATCGTATTTGTTGTTTTTTTAGATATCACTGAAAATAAAAAAAATGACTAAACCCAAAAACGAAGACAAATCGTTTATCACTAACGTGAGATTGTTGAAGATAACCGGTCTGTATCAGGTGCTGAATCCAATTGAAAACGATGGTTCTATTACGTTTTGGGGATACAATCTTTATCGATTGGCTCATATTTTAGCAGCAATATTCGACGGGACATTTTTGATTTTCTGCGTGACCGGCCTCGTTGGTTGGACCAACGACTTTAACCAGTGGCTAAACTGTTGGATGCTATTTATAGGCGGTTTTAACACTTTTCTGAACGTCATCCGAGTCGGTCAGAAATCCCAAGTCATTTGGAAATGTTTCGACATAATGCGAGACGATTTCTTGTCCTACCGACATTACAAGACGGACACGGTGAAGTATTACAAAAACAAGTCGTTGACAGTCACAAACATACACACGACACTGTGTTTGGCGGTACTTTTGAATTGGTTAATCTACCCTGCGTTTATCACTGACTATACGGTGCGAAATCTACAGGGCGACATGGTGACTTACAAGAACAGCGTTATCAACATTTTGCTGTATCCGTTAAACGTTGACATATACAATAAACTGCATCCGATCATTTACATTATCGAAGCCGTTATATTTACGCAATGCATAATTGGCTTTGCGCTATTCGATTCGGTGCTCATTATTTTCTGCTGGTCAATTGTAGCACATCTGAAAACAATCGCTTCGGCGTACAGCTCGTTGGGATACGAAAAAACTGAAAGTATGTGTCCGAATTAACTAACTATCTACACACACATACACACTAATTAATATTAATTTCTATACTTCCTAAACCGACAATTTTTATGAACAGCAGTCACATGTATTTCAGATAATTCGGCAACGTTAATCGAACAATTCAAAATGATTGTATCGGATCACGCAAAAGTCATATCGTGAGTTAAGTTATTACTTTGCCATATTTGCCATTCGGCAGTATTGAAGGGGACTCACTTCAATTACAAACACTTAATAATAAATTAAGTTAGGTAGTTTAGTATACATTCTAATATAGTATAAAGAGGTAGAATGATGATCGGAATGAACAGTATTAAAAATATTAGGCTAAGTAGAAAATAAATATACAAACCAAAGAAGTTGTTTTATGTTCTTTTAATGGGGTTGCACTGTGCATTTAAAAAATAGATTGTGAGTAAAATTTGAAATACAGTAGGAATTTATATGGGTCAACTGTGACGGTAAATGTTAAACATTATTTTTGTGAAGCGGCCCATTCAAAAAAAAACATAATTGGGATGTTTACCAAGTAGATATTTTGCGTTATTTATGTTTTATTTCATCGTCATATAACAAAATTAAAAATCTCAACAAGGGGAGGTATTTATTTGATCTATAGGAAAGGAGGCTTAAAGATTTGTCGCCTTATGGTTTAAAATCAGGCTTTAATTTATTATGAAATGTATTCATATTATTACCTAAATAGCATATTGTATTATACATTGCTTACACTGTTTATTACAATTTTATTTGTTTTTTTTTATGCATTTTTCTGGTTGTTTTTTTTAGTGTAATGAGAGAGTTGTTCGATACTATCCGGCCAATAATAGTATGTCAGCTTGGAACTTCCACTTGCATATTAATTTGTTTTACGTACGCCTATGTAGCGGTAATATTTAAATTATGTTATTCTTAATTATTTTCTATATATGAGTTCGCTGATATTTAATAAACATTTAACAGAATTATTTTAACGGGATGCCGATTATGTCTGTAGTGTTGATGAAACATTTTTTTACGACGATGTACGGCGTACTACGGCTGTTCATCTTAACTAAATTTTGTGGACTTGTGGACGACCAGGTTAATTTTTTTTTACTGTACATCATTGCACCTAAATAAAATTGTCTTAGACACTATAGTATCGCAATAATTTGTGTTTTGCCTATAGTTCCTTTTCAGTATATAAAAACAGAAATGTCAAACTTATAAATTAAAATTATAATATATATATATAAAATACCTACCTTGTTTGGTTACAGGTAAACTCGATGAATTTCTCATTGTACAGTTGCAATTGGTTAGATCAAGATTTATCTTTCCAAAAGTTACTGTTGTTGACAATGTCCGTGAACAGTGCTAATATGAAGACGTTAATGATAACGCCGACCAAAAAAGTTGATTTAAAGACTTTTGCAAGTGTATGTATATAATATTGCTTTTATAAAATTTAGTGAGCAAACCCTACTCCGGCAGTGCAAAACAAAAGCTCCCCAATTCCCAGAACGTCAGGGGAATCAAGGGATGAACTTCAATTTGTTTGGTTCGTTTTGGAAACTACAAGTTCATTAACTATCGTAAACCACTCAATATCTCACTGATTTTATTAAGAAATATAATTTTTTTTTATGCAATGTGATAACAATTTATCACCATTATCTTTTTAAATCGAAAATAATGTTCTAAAAACGTTGACTGGTCGACCAAGTTTGAAGTTATTAGAGTTTCAAGTTTAAGGCAGGAGAAATGAAGCAGTGTTATTTTAACTGCGCGCCTTTTTCAACCGCACTTCCCTTACACCCTAATTTTTAAACTCTTATAACTTTTAAAATATTTGTCCAATATTAGTTATCAACCAGTTCAAATTTTTAGTACATTATTTTTAATCAAATTAGTTAACAAAACAAATGCGTTACCATATAAGTTTCAAATTTTTCTATCAAAAAAAGTTCGGATGATGGTAAAAATCAAAAAAATGGTGAGAAATTGTAATAACATTGTATAAAAACATGTATAAGATGTACATGAGATGTAATACATAAGATGTACATTTACACAATGTAAAGAATAAATAAAATTTCTTATTAAAACCAGTGAGATTTAGTGGTTCACATTAAGTTTATCACTCTGTACATTGAGTTTTACAGATTGATACATTTTATAATTAACGTGGTGGTGGTGGTACCTTATTATGAAGAAATTGATTAAAATACCTAAAATGTTATTTATTATTACTTGTATTGTTTAAAATCTCATCCTAACGAATACCGCAGTATTTTTCTACATTATCTTCGTCCATTGTATTTCCGTTTTAGAATTAACAGGATTAAATGTTTGTTTTCAGACCGTACAAACGTCATATACTATTATCTCTGTATTATTGAAGAAAAACTTATCCAAACAAAACTAAAATCACAAACACGTGGAGAGAGATTTAACTCTAGATACTATATGTACAATATTATGAAACAACATGTTATGTTCACGTTAATAAAACTGCATACATATAACTTGTGTAATGTTACACCAATACAAATAGTATAAATGCTATGCGATTAAAATAAAATACATTTTGTTTCACTTTTAAATTTGTCTTTTACTTTAATAACATCGTTAACACTAATATATACAGGACGATTCTTTCATCATGGGCCACTTATTATTTAATAGCGTGCTATACAGGCATTTGACGCCTTTTGCACGCTTCGACCAAACGTTGACAAACCATGTATGTAATTAAATGAGTTCGAATATTAATAATAAATGTTAATTATAAAAAAAAAATCATTTTTTATCATTTCCAACAATCATTAGAAAAAAACTTTTATTTTAATATGTATAATTATAGTTATTATAAACACTACTAACTCAGTATTAATTTTTTTTTTATAATAAATTAACCTTTTTTACAATAAGCAAGCGGTTTTTTTTTCCTTATAATTCACATAGCACATATGTCGGACTCCGCCGAGGTATAATTATTCAAAACTGGTTGTTTCTAGTTTTATTTTATTATTATATTACCTTACATTAAATACCTTTATTATTGTGAGTGTCTTTGTGATTTTGATCCGAGTATGTTAAAACAAGACTTGTATTCATAAAAATATTTCTCTTTGCTTCTTTATTTCGATATTCTTTTACTCCTACATAAATCTCCGGAAGTAGATGGGCTGGAAATATTTTCGCCAGTAGTAAAAATTGTATGGGAAACCCCCGGTATCTATCCATCTACTTCTTTAGTGTCTGGCATAAGTTTTTTCCCCAATTTTTTTTTTTATAATCCATACATAATTGTAGTAGTACTCCAGAGCCTAGACTGTGTATGTAATGCTGATTGACCGTTGACTTCCGAAGTTAGTTATAACACTGTTTACTTTTGTATGATAAGAATATTAATTTTATTATTTATAATATTATGTACTTTTCAGTGGTCAGTTCAAATTTTATAATCTGCATAAATAAAATATACAAATGTAAATTATTTATATATTTTAATAGTTATCTATTGGATTAAATATTCTTTAGATATAGCAACTATATTGTATATCAATCGTGAATAAACCATTATATGCAGTTTTAGATTTCTCTGATATAAAACTAATATGAATTTAAAAATTGGAGCGTCATTACCATAAACGGGCGTTGTCCATTTATACTATGAGTATTATTATCCTTTTTTTTGTTGTATTAAACAGTAAAGTGCAAGCAATACTTTTTATCAACTATTGAGCTATCAAATGACCGGCTATTTTGCAATAATCAATTACAGTCAACTTACAGTGTTTGAAAATTTTCCATGAAAAACATACATTAAAACATATCCATACTTGAGATCATAAAATAAGTACTAACGAAATACACGAGTAAAATGATTTATTAATCAATGAAAACTACATTTGTAAGTAATATACTACATACATGCATTCATTTAATAACAGTTAATAATATAATCAACATTTTAAATATTTAATGATTAAGCCAATGATTTGATTTTTGTTCAAAGCACGAACAACGCATTCTGAAAGTACAAAGTATATTATACATTTTTTATTCAAACGAATCAGATCAATCAAACAGTAAATAAGTTGAGAACAATAATATGTTCCACTTGCAAAAGATTTTTATTTCAAATTATTGTAATATAAGAAAATAATAATGTAAAATTACACTATACATTGTTAGTAAAATATAAACATTTTTTAAAAATTAAACTAACATTATTCTAATATTATTTTGTATACCGCCAACAAAAGGTCCCCTGTTTTTTAAATTTATTTTATAAATTCCAAGTTATGACTTCTTAGTTCAAAAGAAATTAAATAGTTTACAGTTATACAATTAATTGTAGACTTGAATATTAAAATATCTTTTCAATAGTTTTTTTGAACATTTTTCTCAACATATTTATTGAATATTTTTCTATTGTTTATTACTGAATAAATCCGTTCTCAATTGACCCTTTACATCAGTGGAATTATCTACACGCTTTGCCAGTCTTGCTTTGATAATAATGTCACGTAAATTGTCAAAGTTTATGCCATATGGTTTTAGTTCACATAATTTGAATTTTTTTCTCAACAATCCCTATTGTTATCAAAATAAGAATACAAATAAAACTTTTTTAGCCATATAACAAACACGGTACAAACATAAGATTAATTTTCTAAACAATAAGTAACATCTATTATGTGACAACAAAAATCTCAGGAATTTTAATAATTTTGAAGTTCTTGTTATATTTACAAGAATAAATTTAACTATTTTTTCCATAGAATAATTGAAAGCTTGAATATTACGAAGAACCCCGAAAAAACCCCTAAACTAACTACTCTAAACAGCAAAATAGTATTATAGTTTTTTATTTACCATTATTTCACCGTCAACATCATTTCCTTGGGTAATGTGCAAAACATTGCCTAGAAATGTACGGCCTGAAAGAAAACATTTTTAAAAAGGTTTTTTTTTTTAAAACACATTAAGCAGATTAATCTGCAAAAGAAATTCAGAATAATATTGTGTTACAGTTGCGAAATATTTTTATTTTTAACTATTGTAATGAAAGAATGATGTTGTAAATAAAAAAAAAAAGGTTCTAAATTTCATCATTTTTTATCTAACTTACATGTTACGACTTCTTAGTTTTAAAAACAAGTAAGAATCAACAGCTATACAATTAGTCGTTATCCAATTAGTTATATTATCCTATTATTTATTACTTTCTAATGCCATTTCCATTTCAACGAGACTGGGGAATTCTACCGCTGCGCCCGTTGCCTTCTTTACTTCGTCAATAACACTTATGAAGTTTTCGTAGCCAAAGCTACCTTGCTTGTAATGTTCATTGACTATATCTTCTATTTTTTGCTATTGTTATAAAAATAAGAATAAGTTATTAAAATGTTTATTACAATAATAAATCCTTTTTTTATTGTTGTTATCAATAATTGGTTATTAGTGAAAATATCACCTAAAGCACTCTTCGAAGCGACAATGAGGAAGCTTAAAAGATTGAATACATTTTTTTTTAACAATATATTACATTTTGTACATAGTTTAGCTAGACTACTGGTATTTTCTATTAGTCATAAATAATAAGTGCTCGTCATACTTACACGATGGACTTCATTACTCTGACATTGCAAAAAGTACAATGTGACGCAAAAATACAGTATGGTGTTTTTCGAATACATATTTTTAAATTTTCACACACAAAATTTGGATTCAAAAATGCTTAATTATTTATTTTACGAGTAATAACAATTTTGGAATAATTATTCGATAATTTAGTACCTATGACGATTTTGTAGTGTAATGGGAATATTGTGTTATTAAAAGTTATCGTTTTGAATTGCCACGGTACTTTCTATAAGAAATAGAACTTGAGGAATGGAAACAGTTTCAAGCTTGTAACTATTGGCCGTGCAATTTTCTGCGAACAACAGATATTGAAAAACGTTTTTATTTGCGTTGTATGTCATTTTAGTACACGCGCTCTGTTACTGTTATTTTTTAGAAATACTTACTACACTCGCTTTTAAAATTGTTTAACCCGTGCAAAATATACGCATTTATTGTCAACGTTTATCGATTGCGCCTATCCGAAGCACGTTTCATACATTTTAACTTTTTAAATTTACAATGTAAAAATATGTAATATTTTGATTGATTTTTCTCGATTTGAAAGGGATATGCTAAACTATTTTTGGTCCAACTAAGTGCTTCCCTGGTCCCATTTCTGATTAGACTTCTTATATAAAAAAAATCAGCCCACTAAAAAAATGATTAGCTCAAACACACACAAAAAAATTAAATTATAAAAACGCATCTTGTAAAACAGTATTACATCAACTCCGCATCAAAGCTGAATAAAATACTTAATAAATACTATATTTGCATTTTTCTCAGTTAAATAAAAAAAAACGTTTTTAATTTTTATTTCGCTTAATTACCTTATCGAAACTAAAATTATTTATAAAATAGATTTAAAAGGCCCCAAAATCCAGCAAATGTATCATATGACTTTTATAGTCTTAGAATTATGTGCCAGTGCCAACTTGACCCATATCAAATATATCGATATATTTGTATTGTAATTTTTTCAATAAGAACGGCGTGAGGTCAAAATTCAATACTCTAATAGGTATAAAATAGATAATATGTTTAAAAAAATTCTTACAAATATTAAAAAAAATATTCTATGATTATATTAATAGCTATTGAATTTCGATGGCCTAAAATTATAGTTTTACACGTTTGTCGTTTAATATTATTATTTTTCAACTTTAAAAAAAAAACAAATATGGCTTGCAAAAACTGCTTAATGGATCGATCCATTTGATTTTGAGTTTTTATTTGAAAAAGTTGAATATAAAAATTATGTTTTACACTCTACAACAGGCATTTTATCATTTTTGTCGACAAATAGTAAATAAAATTGTCAGAAAAAAACCAACCAAGAAAACAGTATTGATACCTTTACGGTCAAAAAAGTAGAAACTCCTTTAATTACGATTTTCTAGGGAAAGGGGTGGGGTGGGTAAAAATTGGAACTAAGTCCTAAAGTTAAGACTAAATTTAGCGTGTGTAGAATATTTTTTAATACATATTATAGTCACCACTTTGAAAATTATACAAAATAATTAAGTAACTCGAGTGACTCAAAAATGTTAAATGCGAGGAATTTTCACCATATTTCTTATTCATCAAATACGGAAACAATTAATTACTTTTCTTGCTCCTGCTGGTTGTGCTGGGTTTGCTGTTTGTCAATCATTACTTTATTCATTCTATGCTCGTTGGGCACATTGCCACATTGTTACTACATACGTTGCAAGTTCATTCTCAAACTTAAAGCTCAAGTATTTCTAAAAATCTCTCCTGTTCTTGTAAAAGTAACGTATTTAGATCTAACATATAAAATATGTTTTGTACATTTGTAAGTATAAAAGGTGATCATTTTATCGTGAACCACTCAAAATATCATAGGGTTCTATAAGAAGTAAACATTTTTTTTATATTGTTTTAATACAATGTGATCTCAATTACCCAAAACATTTTTTATAGCAACTTTTGATACTTGACCTTTTCGTTCCTGGGATTATTTTTTTTCGAAAAAAAAATCAACAATTTGTTTTTACGTATCGGACTGATATTGACTATCAATATAGCTGTGTCGATTTTTTTATCATCAATCTATACTAGAATCTATACTGTGTTTAAAGACATTTTTGATATTTATAGTAAGTTTTTTAATATTTTATTCGATTTTTAAAGTTAAATCCTCGTACGATGATGTCAATAACAATAATTGATAATAACGATAATTGACAATGTCAATTATTCATATTTTTTTTGTTTTCACCCCCCCCCCCCCACACAGCTTAGATTTTTCGATAGCAACTTTCGAAACTTAACTGTAACACATACATTTTATTAACTTATTATACTGAGAATAATGTACTTAATATTTTAAGTGATTGATAAATAGTTTTGAACAACTATTTTTAAAATGTTAAGAGTTTGAATGTAACGCTGGAAGAGGAAGTGCAGGTGGGTAGTGCGTGTAGATAAAAATAATATTATTCAACACCTGGAGGAAACTCCAGCCTAACACTTGAAACAAATCAATGATAAGTGCAGCATTTTCAATTTAGAAGGTTAGAAGTGTCAGACTATCGGAATAAAATTGTTTAAAATTACAATGGAACTATTTTTGGTTCGTTTGCTGCATGAATTATAAACCAAAATTGTAATTGTTTTTTTTTTTTAGATATCACTGAAAATAAAAAAAATGACTACCCATAAAAACGAAAACAAATCATTTATCACTAACGTGAGATTGTTGAAGACAACCGGTCTGTATCAAGTGTCTGATAAAAATCTAATAGTACAATTTAAATTTGTTTAAACTAGAGATCAACATAAATCGAACAATCGTCAACGTGTGATACAATCCAGATCTGCATAATTATGTGTGTTTAAAAAAAATTTACGAATAAAAATATAGTTTTTCCATTATTCATTTAATCAGATTAACTTGACTTTTTACCCAAGAACTAATTTTCATATTATCCGCAATTAAATTAGCTATTTACTTAAAATTAGTTATTTTTTAAAAGGGCAAGACAAATAAATATTACAGCTTATGTGTTTTAAATACATTTCCGTGTTAGGAAATCCAACAACACATGAAATCATATAGTTCTTAATTTCAATAAATTGTACTACAAGCCCAAGACAAATAAATAACACAACTTATTTTTTAGCTTCGATGCAAAGCGAGAAGGTATTTTAAATACGTTTCCGCGTTCGGAAACAAACATCACAGCGAACTATGATTTTCCTTATTTCAATAAATTATTCTAATAGCACAAGATAAATAATAAACAACACAATTTTTTTGTAATATGTTTCCGTGTTAAAAAACAAATTTAGTGTTATTTGAAAAAAAAAATAACAATAACAAAACGACATAATATTTCCTTTAATAAATACAATAAATCAGTATTCCCAACTATGATTTCTTAAAATGTTTTTATTGTGGCATTTTGTGTACAGTTTAATGTAAATCAATAATGTCCGGATCTTAGTATGGGATCTTAGTCGTAGATCAAAGTATGGGATTTGTGTCATTTATTTGTCTTGTGACATTAAAACAAACAAAACCTATGTCTTTTGAATGCGTTTCCGTGTTGGAAAACAAACATGGCATCGAATCATACATTTCCTTATTTCAATCCATTTTTTTGAATAAAAACTAGACAAATAAGTAACACAGCCCTCGTATTTACAATTCGTTTCCGTGTTGGAACACAAACACCATATGAAATCATATTATATTTCCTGATTTTTGTGAATTATTTCAATAGTACAATGTTTTTTATTTGCAACAATAGTACACAAAATGTGGTTTTTTGGCAAAACATGTTCACAAATAATCAACACACACACACAATAATAATATATCAACAATGAACAATATGTGCACTTCCTCCACCTACCAAATGGACAAACAATTTTGTGCAGCACATCTCTCTATAAATAATGTAAGCAATTGTACTGTTGCTTTAGTATAGTATATACTAAGATATTACTAAGTACATTTTAAAGATATTTTTTAACAAAATGAATTTCAAAAGTGTAGTTTTGATTATATCAACTGTGTTATGCATTATCATATCTATTGCTCAAGGTAGGTACATAAAATACATTTAGGTTACAAATGTAACAACGTAATGAGGTTGTGTTAAAATTAAATGTTTTTCCATATAAGTAAAATATTTTAATATAATATCTGATGATTTTTTTAGAAAAATAAAATCAACACTATATATACTCATTAAGTTATAAAATTATTTTATATATAACTTATACGTGGAACATATATATTATGACTATATTAAAACTAAACGTTTTTGGATTAAAATTTAAAATATATAATTTATACACAAGGATAAAAACAAATATACTTTATTAATTTTTTTTTTCAATATTTCAGGTCAACCAATGCCAGGTGGTAATTTAATGGATAATATCAGTTTAAGTGCTTTACAAAAATACTAACAGTTTTTAAATTGTTTTCAATAAAGCTTAAAATGTGTATAAAATGCTACAAATGACTTCAATTGTCGAAAATAAGAATACGTTTCCCAAGTTTATAAGCATATTGTATAATTGTGTATATACAGTTCTAATATTATCTTAAGAATATTACATGTGGCTATGATAAAATTAAACGCTTTTGGATTAAAATCAAAATATATAATTTATACACAAGGATAAAAAGAAATATTTAAGTAATTTTTTTTTTAATATTTCAGAACCCTGGGCAATTGGTAAGTTAATTGATAATATCGGTTTATATGCTTTACAAATTTACTAGCAGTTTTTTAATTATTTTCAATAAAGCTTAAAGTATAAATAAAATGCTTCGAATGCCTTAAATTGTGGAAAATAAGAAGACGTTTGCCATGTTCATGAACACATTGTATAATTTTTCATATCCAGTTATAATGTTATTTTAAGAATATTACATGTGGCTATAAGAAAATTAAATGGTTTTCGATCAAAGCATTTTTATATAATTTAGACGGGATGCACTAGGATAAAAAAAAATATTTTAAATATTTTTTTTTTGATTTTTCAGTAACCGCACAACCACTGGGAGGTAGGAGACCAACACCTTCCACGGATCCACCACCACAAGCTCCAGGACCACCAGCTCCAGCGCCACAAGCACCACAGCCACAACAATAAAAGTGTAATTCAATATGTAATATTATCACTCGTTTTTCAAATGACCCAATTAATGCTGAAAATGATTAACTATTATATTTTAATTTTTTTATAACCGATTGTTTCACACAAAATAGTTTGATACTTTAAAATCACAATTATTTTGAAATTAAAACAATGGATACTAGTAAATCCTAAGATTTTATTTAAAATGGAAACGGCTTGTACTATGTATACTATACTGGAATATACTATATATTCTAAAATCATTGCCTATCATATAAATTATATTATGTCTATTATATAAACCTCTCTACCAATAAAAGAAGAATATCCACCGAATAAGTAAACTTGTGTTTTATTGTCTAATCTTTTCCAACAATTTGTTTCTACTTCTGCTTCCTCCTCTTATATTTAATTTTTGATGATAAAATGTCTACGGAAATGCGGCAAATAGTGTGAATTGTTGAACTTTATAAGTTATAACAAATTTAAATATACAATACATAATTCATTTTGAATATTTATAGTTATAATTTTTATGCTCTTGATTTAATATTGATGCTTTGTCTGGTTAGGTTAGGTTAACCACATGTTATGTAATGGGCAGTGCGGCAAATTTATTTTAGCTTTTAAAAAAGTGAACTAAAATGTAAAAAATAATATTATTATAAGAACAATTTACCAATCAATTGTAGCATATTTTAATTAAAATGCCAATTACTTTGAAAACAACCGAAAATTAACTACAATTTTAAATAATTTTAAACATCTTTAATTTTTGACTAAAAAGAAAAGCGTGGGCCCAATTCAACAAAGTCCAAATTCATTGAGTTAAGTATTACGAAATGTATGTGTCACTCAGAAATATTAAACTAAATTTAAATTACAAAAGAAATTACAATATAAAACATTATTTAAAATTGTAGTTAATTTTCGGTTGTTTTCAAAGTAATTGACATTTTAAATAAAATATGCTACAACCGATTGGTAAATTGTTCTTGTAATAAGATTATATCTTACTTTTTAGTTCATATTTTACTATTTTTTTTTAGAAAAGCATGTTTTTATTTCTTCTAATTACCAACTATGTGTTATAGGAACTTATGCATAATTGAGACTACCGCATGTGTTGTATACTATAAATTACATTTAAACAGGTAAACTTAGGAATTGGTTACAATTTAGACAGCATTAAGTAACAAGCTTGTTTTTTTTTGTCAGCATTATTAAACACTTTTTTTTTTTAGTACTAGTTTTTATGTTTTTTAAAAATGTTAATTTTTCACCTGCACTGACAAACGTGTATACAAAAATGATACACAGAAAATATGCTAAAATACTATACAGTAATTAAGTTTTTTTTTTTTTTTACTTAAACAAATAAGAAAAAAATTGTTCATAGTTTTTGACTGCTAAAATATAAATTTATTGGGATACGACTAATAATTTTCTAAGAAGTAGGTACAATTTTAAATTATTTTTTTTACTTTTGTAAATAATATGATCTAATTTCAAATCTAGTTTACCTAAACAGATAAAATCAATTTTGTGTCTTTACAATAATAGTGATTTAAAATTACATTCTTAATAAAATAAACAGTATTATTTAAATACTATTTTAAAAAACTCTTTGCGGTAACCTTACTTACCATCAAACCAGCTCATGGTTTTGGAAATCTACCATGTAATGCTATTGTAATAATATTTGTTTAAACACAATGATTAAAATTTAAGTTTCTGTAAACATTTATACCATCTCAAATTGAAATTTATTTTTACTTAATACACTAATAATAAATTGTTACAATAATAACCTGTAGTGGTATCGTATAAAGATATTTTTAATTTAAGACTTCCCATTTTTCAATTTAAAAATTAAATATGTATTTAGTATATTGCCAAGTACTCAAAATAGTTATACTGTATACAAGTCTATAATAATTGACGCTTCTCTATTAAGTTGTATATTTTATTAAATATTGCAATTGAACCACTTACTTTTTTTATATTTTTAAAGAAATATAGATTTTAGCAAAAATAACTAATCATAAATTATTATAAAACTATACTTTTCATCAAGAATCCCCATCTTTTCAAAAAGTACATTTTTGATGATTATAATGGAAATTATGGCATTCTATATTATTGTACTAAAAAGTTGTAAATACCTTTTTTGTAAATGAACAACCACATATGTTTAATGAAAAATCCATAAATTGTATAATTGCATATTCAGACCTACTAGTAAAGTGTCAAAATTAATTGCATTTTTAAAGTTAAGTTAAAAAATTGTATTATTATGATTATTATCATTTGGACTTGTGTAAACTATGAAACTATGTTAACTTGTAAGGCAATTCTGTGTTTTAAGTGCAGGTTTTTAGTTTTAAAAATAAGTAGGTAATTAACAAATAACATTGTGTAGTAAAATATTTCAGAAAATTCAGAAACTTACGTTAAGACTTGATATAAATAAAATAATTAGTATATTTGATATTAAATTGAACATAATATTACAAAAAACAGTATAGCTTACTTCCATATTATAGTTTGATGTAAACTAAAGGATAAAAAGATATATTTGGACCGTTATCGTGATCGATTGATTTTTAGTAGGCACCTAAAAACTTTTCTGATCACCGTTTAACAATAAACTGTACTCTATAAACAAAATTAGATTATGAACTCATTGTCAGTGTAGCATTGTTTCAACTTTTTAATCGAAATTAGTTACCGACAGACCAATCTAAACAGTAATTTTGCAATAATGTCACAAATGTTATGAATTACTTATTTAATTACTCATTTTAAATTTCCCATTTTTATTTATGGTTTTATTTTGTAAATCAATACTGTGTATTGACTGTAATGTACAACAATTTCTTATCGCTTGATAGGAAACGCAAGCATTATTTTTCCGGCAGTATTGTCTTAATAATACCGATTACTAATAGTGTTTGCAGACAATGACACAGTTTGTGGTCGTCGGTTATATTTATTATCTGTATACAAGCTGTACTACTGTAGAAAACGTCTGGAACCGCTACTAATCATAGGTAATGTGTGTGTGTGTGTGTGTGTGTTGTATAACTGTAGTCGCAGGATCATTATTGGGTTCTTGGAAGGTTAAACAATTCTGCTTGTACGAGTATGAAAATAAGACACGATTGATTTAAGATTAGTCAAGTATCCTTGAAAAATTAATAATGAACGAAAATATGGTATCATCATTAATATTTTAGAAATTATACGTAATTACCTTTAATATTAATAATAAATATAAAATATAATATTAATGGATACAATAGTTTTTGTTGGAGGGGAGCAAGTTTTGCTTTTAATACTTTTAGCTATTTTTTTTTTTTTTGGAAAAATAGTAATGTATTTTACTGTCGAATAGGAATTATGAAGTTTTTGCTGCCGAAGCTTACATAAATTGGGAAAATTGAACTTTTAAATAGTCCTAATAAGATAACAATAATGTAACCGTCCGCTGACGGCTCATCTACTTTTATTATAATACATACAAAAAAGACATAAGAACTAAAAAAATTGTACCAAACACTACCAAAACCAAATGAATTCAATTTATATAAAAGGGTATCGTGGTTAACATTTAAAATTTTAAAAACTGTAATCATCATAAACCTAAGTACCACTTGTCCAATGCACAAATATGCTCACACCACGCCTTTATAAGTTAACAACAATTTACAAAAAAGAAACTAAATATCAATCCTATAATTATCGTCCATCACTGAAGAGTTGATACAAGTTTAGAACTCATAATAATTTAACTCCACTTTTTGGCACAACCTAACCTGACCTTTCTTGCTGCTACTCGTATTGTTGCGTTTGATTCTAGTTCATCAATATTCAAATAATAAATACACCGCATCTGCCATAATCGAAAAAAGTTTAGCTAAAGGTTAATTAACATGAATCTTTTATAAAACTATATATTTAAAAGTGAAGGCGATTGCCACTTGCCCAATGCTCAAAAATTGTGCTCTCACCTCGCCAACTGTATTATAGTGTATTAGGCCTGCACATACATATTATATGAAAAGAAACTAAATATTTATCTTGTAATTATCGTCCATCGACGAGAAGTTGATACCAGTTTAAAACTCATAAATAAACAATGCACTTTTCCAAGTTCTTTTTTTACCATATTTCTTATTCGTCAAACATGGAAACGATTAATTACTTTTCTTGCTGCTGCTCGTTGTGCTGGCTTTGCCATTTGTCAATCTTTGCTTTATTCTTACTATGCTCGTCGGACACATTGTTACTCGTTGCAAAATCGTTCTCAAACTTCAAGCTCAAGTATTTCTGAAAATCTCTCCTGTTCTTGTAAAATAACGTATTTAGATCTAACAAATAAAATATGTTTTATACATTTGTAGGTATAAATGATGACCATTTTATCGTGAACCACTCGAAATAAGAAATAACATTTTTTTTTTCAAATTGTTTTAATACAATGTGATCTCATTTCCCCATATTTTTTTTTCACCCCCCCCCTCCCTCTTAAGCTTAGATTTTTCGATAGCAACTTTTGAGACTTAAATGTAATGCATACATTTCATTAACATATTACACTGAGAATAATTTACTAAACATTTTGATTGATTGATAACTAGTTTTGAACATTTATTTTAAAAATGTATATTTTTATACTTAAGAATAATGTTGACCCCACAACAGAAGATATTTCTTGTTATGATGACGACAATGAATGAATATATTTTTTCATATATTCTTAAGATTTATTTTTACTTAAATTATTTTGTAATTATTTTATTTTAATATTTTGTTTCTATTTTTTTTAAATACAATTAAAGTGAATAAACCAAGGTTGATTAATATCATGTTTTTATTTTATTTTATTTATGTATTATTATGCATTTTTTTTAATGAATGTAAAATAAGGTTTTATAATTTTTCAAGATAATACAAAACATATTGTAACAAATTTACAGCCACAAAAAATACTATGTATGAATTATTTAATTTTTCAGGAAATAGTTGATTATGAAAAAAAAATATATATTAGTTTGCTATGTAAAATAAATAATATTATTGACCACCTATATACATATATTATGTCAAATTATACTGTTTGTTGGAAATAGTACGTTATAATGAAATATGGCCAAAACGTACAACTAAGTAGTGGAAATAGTACGTTTTGGCGCGAATCATTTTACAAAAGTAGGTTTGAATGTATATAAATTTAAATTTACATATTAACAATTATCA